CCTGAGAGTGAAGTTGCCACATATGGTTTTGATGCATAACCATTTGTCACCACTGTTGATGATCTGAATTTAAGGTACGATGAAACCAAGAATGTAAGGATCCGCAAACACCAAATTAATTAATTTTTTTAATAATATATGGTACAAACTTTGTCAAAGGGCTACTAAAATCAGTATATATCGATCTACTTGTATCCTTATCAACATCTATAGATTTAATAAAACCAGTTGTAGAACAGATCTGGCTGGAAACCATGCTGTCTACACTTATCATAGGTTTAATATAAGTAAATTTACATATAACTACTCAAACAATTTTGAAAACGTGCTAGAATCGAGATAGTGTAGTTTTACTTTCCCTTTCACCCTTCTTATATACTGGGATAAACTTTAAATATAGGAAATATTCTTGTGAAGAATAAAAATAAGAGTAAGAGGGAAAGCGAGCTCGGCAGACACCTCTTAGAAAAGGGGTGGTAGACGTTGAGGCCTTTGTATGATATTTTTTAAAGCCTTTAGTATGGTTGCTCTTAAAACTATTTTGCTTAATAATAGGTTAGCCATGAATAATAATGAAAGAGGTAATATTATTATTTAACATTTATTGAAATATAAAAGTTGGAAAAATTATATTTATTTTACAGTCCCACTTTTATAAAATTTAATTTTTGTCTTTATGAGTATTTAAATTTTTGGGATCTTTATTTATGGCCTCCTTTTTATATAAAATAACACTCTAGTAATGTTATTACATCTTCGTAAATTTTACTCATTATAGTATTAACCTAAGTTTATTCTTTTCAAATAATTTTCAAGTGAATTATTAAACCAGGGTGGTAATTATGAATTTTATAAATTTAAATTTGATTAACTATTAATATTTAAAATTTATCATCTATAATACTATTTTAGAAAAAACCAGTCGATCCACAACTCTTTAAAATAAAAATAGCAAAAATTAAAAAATGAATTGGAAAACACTTTAAATCCAGAACAACAAACAACTAGTATGAATAAGCTTACTTAAAAATACTGCTCTCATTTTTAAATTTTAATACTAAATCTAAATTATAAATTTTAACATATTAATTTTAATATTTAATAACAAAATCTACCAACGATATCAGAGGTATTAAATTTTTGAGGAAAATTTAAAACAAATATATATGGAAGTTAAATCACAGCAATTACTACTATAGTACTTAAATTGCATTAGCAAAAAACATTCTAAATATTTTGATAAGAAAATAGGAAGAAATTAACTCTTTTCAGTTTGATGAGTCTGAATAGACCAATTCTCACATATTTTATTATTTACAACTTAATGTATTAAAAAGAACCTCCGTCCATGGTATTTTCCCTTCTTAGAAGTAATTTAATAAACTCATAAAATATAAGGCAAAGCCAGTTCTATTATATAATAAATATTTTTAAAAATTTTACATACCTCTAATTTTTTAAAATATTAATCCATTGATAAGAATGTTAAATTTAAATAATTACAATAAGTTTAACTTAGAAAATTTAGATAAAAAAAACCTTGGCCCCAATCATTTATTGTTTTTAAAACTAAAGAAGACATCTGAAACTCTGGGAACCTCGCTACTAGGTGGATTGGAGTGTCCCTATTTAATTTCGCTACTGAGTCACTTGCAGAATCTCCTGGCAAGGGTTTTTAATTATAAATTAAATATTGAATTTAGAAGAATGCTAGGGTCGAATTTAACGTTCCTCGATATTTTCAAATAGTCTACTGGTGATCATTTATAAATTAAGAGTCTGTTTTGTTTTGAAAAATCTAATTTTAATTTTTATTTATTAATTCAAATTTAACCAATTAGTAAGAGATCTTATCTTAAATTTTTAATTATAATTATTTAAAATTTTTTAAAAAATAAAATTTTGAATTCTTCCTAAATAAATATATTACATAACTTTAAACTAATTGAGCTTATTATTTATTACCTAAGATTAGTATATTCAAAGAAATATAATTTATAATAAACATTAAAAAATGTACAAATTAAATAATAAAACAAAAATAATTAACTTAGATTAAAATTTTAATTATTTTAATAACTTTAATAAAAAAAATAAAGTAGTAAAAAATTAAGGTATAAATATATATCATGAATAATTAAAAATAAAAAAAAATCCTATATAATATTTGATTATAAAATAATAACTTAAAATTATTTAATAAAAAAAAATATTTTGCATTTTGCACTTTTTTCTTATTTTATGAGCTCTTTCCACATAAATTATACGGATCATCGGAAATTGGCAGGATCCGCGTGGACTACAGCAGTCTACCGGAGGCGCTGCGAGAGCTGGAGGAGACCGACGAGATCAAGCGAAAGGCCGACAAGCTGCAAAAGGCCATCAACAACTTGCAGAACACGGTGGACAAGATCCAGGCCCCCAACATGAGGGTAATGTTGTTTATCGCTCGCGGTTCATCTCTTCATTAATCAATTATTCAATTATTAAAATATGTTTTATCTCCAGGCAATGCAAAAGCTGAACGAGGTGCGCGAGAAAGTGAACGCCACGAACGAGGCGTTCGTCGCGGCCAGGAAACGCGCGCACAAGGCCAAGCTGGCGTTTGAGAAGGTGACGTGTATTCAAGATATTTAACATATACATACACACATACATATAGAATAAAACTTTTTTAACAATCTGTTCCAGGTCAAGAAAGAACGTCACGACAAGTTCATGACCTGCTTCGAACACGTCGCGAACGAAATCGACGCCATTTATAAGGTATGGGGGTCTTTTCGTTTCACAGGTTTTAATGAGATATTTTATTTCATTGAGGATTTTAAGAGCAAAAATCCAACCAAAAACTCCCAACGTTCCAGTCGCTGGCCATGAACCAGTCCGCGCAGGCCTTCCTCGGCCCCGAAAACCCCGAGGAGCCCTACCTGGACGGCATCAACTACAACTGCGTGGCTCCCGGCAAACGATTCCAGCCCATGTCCAACTTGTCCGGAGGAGAGAAAACTGTCGCCGCGCTCGCCTTGCTCTTCGCCATACATAGGTGGGACTCGTTTTTATTTATTCCTCATTCCCTAAATGTTCATTTATGTCAGGAAGACAAGGATAGGCTAACTCTCACTCTCACTGTGGCCAACATTTTGAATATGTTTAAAATAAATTTTTGATAATTTTAATTTCCTTATTTTGTTCGCAGTTACCAACCGGCCCCTTTCTTCCTGCTGGACGAGATCGACGCGGCCTTGGACAACACCAACATCGGCAAAGTGGCCGCCTTCATCCGAAGCAAAAAGGGCTCCCTGCAGACCATCGTCATCTCTCTCAAAGAGGAGTTCTACGGATGCGCCGACGCCCTCGTCGGCATTTGCTCCGAGGTGAGAAAAGTTTATATTCATTATTTTACGCTTTGACAAAGACAGTTGTAAAGTTTTTAAAACTTTTGAATCCGATTTCAGCCGGCGGACTGTTTAGTGAGTGACGTCATCACGCTTAGCCTGGAGTCTCACCCGGATTAAGATCTCGAAGAACGGCGGAACTCAGTTTTTTTATAATTGTTGTATCACATAAGTCTGAATATTCCACAATAAATGTTTACTATAATTTCATTCATTTTTATTTCATTGCCTTTGAAGTGGAACCACTCCGACAAAGCAATTTGCATGAAACGAAATAAAAATGTTCAAGTCTAAATATAAAACAAGTAAAAAGAGTGACTGAAAATAAAAATAAAAAATAGAATAGATCTGTTTATTTACAATAAAACTTACAATATTTGACTTTTAACATTTTTCTCAACTCAACTTTATACCGATTTGAAATCAGACGGAAAATTGGCACTTTAATGAAAAATGTCACCGGTTACGTCTACGGAGGCTATCATACATTACACCTTTGGATGGGAGTTAAATCTTAGAAACCTTTCAAAAGTAATTGTCCACACCTTTAAATTGTGTATTGAAAAAATCATCAAATTGAGTGTCGTTCATACACATTTTTAAAGTAAGATGTCATTTACAAAATTCAGAAAATGACATTTTCAATCATATTTAATATCTTAATATATATATTTCTTGTGTGCGTGTGTATGTGACTGAACTTCTCTCAAACGACTGGACCGATTTTGATGAAATTTTTTGTGTGTGTTCAAGGGGATCTGGGAATGGTTTAGATTCACAAATCAGCCTGGCAGATGGCACTGCAGTCGGTACTTTCATACTTTGCTTAATATCCTAATCGCTTTAAATATCATGCAGGACAACGTCTGTGGGGTCCACTAGTAATCAAATAAATCATCGTTTTTTATGCTTTAGTGAAAATTGTGGTGAAAGGGCACAAAAATTGTTTTGTATTCTTATTTTATAAAAATACAGAATCCTTTGCTATTTTTGCTCGGTTTCTTAGATTTATTTCTCAACGTCAGCATTACACATTTACAGTAACGTTAACATAAAAACATTATTGAAAAGAAAGTAAAAGTCGATTTGCCTTATCACTCGAACATTGGTCAACAAATTATAATATAAATTTACTGTTTTAAGATTAAATCATTCTATCTACGTACAATACTATTTACATCATGTTTTTGACGAACCGGTCGTCCACCGAATTCTAATTTTACTCGCAAAAAGTTTTTACAGATTGTGAAACAAAATCTTTTTCTTCGTTTTGCCGGGTTGTGTTGAATTTGTTGGACGACAACAGTGAAATCTGTGGCGCTACGCCGTTCACGCGGTCTGTCCGACGTAACTCGTAGATACTAAATAACAATAAGGCTCTTATTCACAGCACCACAGTGGACGCTCACCGTTTAGTTCGGTTAAAAGATATCGAGGATTACATTTTCATTCAATGAGAGATCACTAATTGTGATGAAAAACATTTCTATATTTTGTATGGAGTCTCAATAATCCGAAAACGAAGACACCGAATGTACGTCGACGCGTCCGTACTTTGGCGTTCCAGGTCTCGACTACTTATGGTTAAATTGCGGCCGAGGGTCGTTAGTCCGGCGAGTTCGGGGGTTTGGTGCTGAAGTAGGGCGCGGTGTGGGGCTGCAGGAGAGTGCTGCAGACCGAGCAGACCCGAGCCGGGGCGCCCCTCGGCCCGCTGGGGACGGAGTGGTTCACGCACGGAGCGCAGAATATCCGGCCGCAGTGCATGCAGTGGATCTGAATCGACGTTTGTACAATTATTATATATTATATTTATCGATCCATAGTATTAAATTCAGATAAACAGTTCATAACGAAACTTGTGTCTGAATTACCAAAAGACATGTATAAGAATGCAATGTAACACCTTTTTCCTGCTGTTGGGCAAAGCCGTGTGGCAGGAAGGGCACTCGCCGACGTCCTCGTCGAACTGCCACCGCACCTCCGTGTCCGCTTCTCGTATGCGCTGGAGCTGAACCTGCAAGCGAATTAACACAATTCAAAAGTAATTGAGAACTGACTGACTGACTCCAAAAGACCGCGGTTATCGAAAAGAATGAATAGAAATGACCTGCAGAGACTGCGAGAGTCTGACGAAATCCTGTTGGACCTTCTCGCTGTTGTCCAGCTCTTGTTGCAGGACGGAAACGCGATTTCTGGTCTCCGACACCTCACCTTGCAGACGTTTCTATAAAAGTATTCAATTCACTTCATTAACTGTCGGAGAGGGACTTCAGTGGACGAAAAAACTTTGAACGACGATTTTGATATCAGAAGGAACAGCATTCGACCTTATCTTCCAGAAGTTTCTCAATCATATCCGTGGAGTGCCTCAGCTTGTTCGCGAGTTCGTTCATCTGTTCCCGCTCAGTCTGGAGCCTGTCCAGCTCGTCTCTGACGAGAGAATTTATCGTTAAAAAATGACTTCACTCAAAGATTGCGAGAGAAACTAGGCTATCTGGCGCTACCTGCACCCCCTCAGCTCGGCGTCGGTGGAGGCCAGAGCGGCCTCCTGCTGATTCAGCAGGGCTCCGTGGGACAAAAGCTGGTTCCGGAGTTCTTGCTCGCTGGCGGCTCCCTCTTCACGGCCGAGCTGACAGAAAATGAGCTGTTCGCGCAGTTGAAGGCATTGCTCTTGTAATTCCTGAAATATTCACCAATGGAATTAAATTACTTATTATTAAGTAAATTCTACACATTTTATTCATGTAGTAGTAGCCATGACGTACAGATCCGTTCGGCTCTCAACGTCGAGAGCAAACAACGTATGAGTAAATGGCAATAGAACATTGAGGTCTACCCAGTCAGATATTAGATAGCCTAACGCCAACCAACATAAACGTTAAATTAAAAAACTATTTTTATATATTATATTTTAACAATCCACAGTGTTTTCTCATGTAACATATTATTCTGTAAAGAAAACACTATTTCTTATTCAAATAGCACTGTCAACTTGATGTCGCAGTCTCATTTCACGTTTGGTGCAAAGCCCTCAAAGGAGTTGAAATGAAAATACACTTACTATAACGTTGTCGGGCAGATTAATAATTTCGTTTTGCATCTCGACTGCCTTCTTCGCATATTGTCCTATCAACATAGCGTTGTCTCTCTCTAAGCTGAAAATTACCAAATTTCACACTTATTACTTAATTTCCGGTTAAAAAAAATATTTTTGAAACCTGTAATAAGGCAACCCCATCCGATCGTACCTATCTAATTTCTTTTGCAGCGTCTCCCGGTCCACCGTGAGCGTGGTGACCTGTTCCAAGGCCCTTCGAGAGGCGTCTTCGGCGGCGGCACAGCGCTCGGTGACCAGATCGTGGCTCTCGGCCAAGGTCTGGCTCAGAACGTTGATTCGAGCCAAGCTGTCTGCGCGCTCCGCCTGCCAGTTGCGGACGGTCTCGTCGTGGATCGACCGGACGCCTTCCAATTCTTCCGTCGCCTGGAGGAAACCATTTCAAACTTATTAAAAAACATATTTTAGTGTTTAGTACCTGTTCTCGAATAGGCGGTTTTCGAAATATTCAATATTATAGGGCCATTAGAAACCTAGTCAAAATATAATATCAATTACATTCAATCCCGATTACATATTCATACACAAGATTAATGACTATAGTAGGTAATTTTACGATTTACTTTCAATAATAATTTACTATAAAAATACGAAAACTACTTTTTCATGATAATTGATTTCAAATATGATTCAAGACCGTATTGATTCATTCCACAGTTAAAATGGCATGGACACGAGCGCCTCACCAGTTTCAACGCGCTCTCGGCTCGAGTAGCCCTCTCTCGAGCGGCATCAGCCCGACTCTGTTCCGCGACCAACTGCCTCTCGTAATTGGCACACATATCACACGACGCCTGACTCTTTCCGCCTTCTGAAAATTATTAAATATGTATGATAAAGTAATCCGCGAGACATTTTGTCACTCCAAGCTATAAGGATGATATAAAATTCACTAAATTATTGTTACCTGGATCTGTTTTGCCATCGCCGGAACTACTTCCTGTATTTCCTGAACTTGGAGCCGATTTCTTTAACAACAATTAAATTAATATAAAAACCGTAATTATATCACTTTAAAATTTTTGACAATTATCCACTTCCATCAAATTTCTCACCATAGCCTCCTGCAGGCGTGTATCCGTGTCTCTCAACTTATTCTTCAGAGCGACGATCTCCATCTCCATGGGCTGAATGATGGCCTGCAGCAGCTCCCCATCTTCTACATTCTAGAAACATTTTATTCATTATCATAAAAGATTTCATCGAACAAAACGACCAATAAGAAAGGCATCAACAAGTGGCCATAGTCAAAAATGTAGAAACGATAAACACACATATTTACAATCATCAAATAATAACGCATACCTTCTTAACTGGCTGGTCGAGTTCCGTGTCGGCGCCGAGTTTACGCGCGAGAGACCGCACAAAAGTAGCCGGAGCCAAAGACACCTCCTGCCACATTTCACGACTTATAGACACACATGTATGATGAATGACCAGAATATGTTTGTAGATTATTCTCTAAATTGGACTTCAAAGATAAAAATTGTTTAACGATTCACTTCACAACTTCTTTTGAATATTAAGCATATTCCAATATAAATTCACAAGCTTTTTATATTTATTTCAATGAATATTTTAAACCCAATACTTTATTCCTATGCAACAGTTTTAGAGACCCGAGTAAAAGTTAAAAGCTACGCGCATGATATTTAAATTTTCTCCATTAGAGCGGTGTTCAGCGATAGTGATTTCCGGTAATTTCCGATAACGTAAAGGCTGCGATACAATAGCGAAATTAAACGCGTCTGTCTGGGTTTTTCGCAATAAACTGAGAAAGGTTTAGGTTGAAAATTTGTCAGGTTTACGGTTCACGAGTAGTAACTGGTGCGAAGCGGGAGGCTAGAGTCAATATACGTAAGTAAAACCAATTCGTATCGAATAAAATATTACGACGCAAATAGAAAAGCATAATGTTGTATTTATAAACGCAGATTGTAATGACAAGGTTATCTTAAAATCATCTTAATTGTCCCTCCTAACATATAATATTTACCCAGTCTAACTGGCCTTAACCATATCAGCATGGTATAATTTGAAAAATTAATTAATTTTTCGAACCACTTTAATAATCACCTGTTGTTGTGTGCGAAGTTGTTGAACCTGTTGTTCAAGCTCCGAGTTCTTAGCTTTGAGACGTCGGATCTCCTCAGAGCCCGAGGATGACACTTCAATTGTTTCTAAGTAAAGGAATAAATATTCGACAAGGTATATGAAAATTAATGTTGAAGTAACAAATGGAAGATAATCAAACATGCCTTTGTAGTTCATTTGTCCCTTACATGTAATTGTGTAGGAGGTGAAAACTAGGGCAAATTACTACCAGACAGCTATGAAGTTTTATCCAACACTAAAAACTTAATGTTAAGAATATTTGAATGTTCTAGTGTACTTATACAACATGTTAGATTTAATTTCAACCCTATTGGTAAGAATTTCACTTAAACACTGGCTGCTTCATATTCTGTTACAAATGGCGGCAGTTTACTCTATATTTTACTAATTGACTGTAATATGTATAAATTATACTTATTTATTAATAACACAATTTCAAAAATACCTGTACCCCACCAATTGAGCAATTCCATACTCTATTTGAAATTATCAAGGAAAACAGGAAACCAAAATTTGCTAATTAACAAGAGAGTGATTCGTTTAATTGAAGGCCTATTAGGGTCAGCTTTAGAATTGGATTAATTAATCAACATTTCAAATGTAGATTGTTTCTATAGTTACCTAATTGTCAATGCTATTGTGTCCGTATATTTTTATCTACATTAACATTCTATTTATACATAGACATAACATTTATTACTAACGAAACACACAAAATAATAATAATAATAAAAAACGTAAGAAAAATAACATTTGAAAGCAGGTGGAGCAGATGTGTTCCACAGCTCTGGTCATTCTGCCAGAGACCACCACAGCTAGTTTGGGCCTTAGACGCAAAAAAGAAAAAGAATGTTATGAATAATAATAGTAGAAAAAATAATAATAGTAAAAATTAACAGTGTAAGTAAAAAAGGCATGTGTAAAAGTATATAGTAAATAAAAAAATAAAAATAAGAATAATTGTTAAGAAATAGATAAATAAATATTTTTGGGCGGATTAGAAACTATTTACTACTATATAAATCAAAGCAAGTGTTTATTTTATGTATGAGACTGTAGTGTGTGATTTGATGAAAGGAAACAAGAAAAGCCTTTTCCAATAGCAATTTATAGAACTTACAATACATTATTAATAATTAACTTCTATCCAGCGATAACTTAATTGGTATCTAATATCAGCTTCAGAAACAATCAGTAAAACAACCTATGAATCTCAGTTAACTTCTATAAGTAGTGTGTAAAATGAATAGAAAAAATCTTTACCACTAACTAACATCTGCAAGCTCTGTATTTCTGATTTTTGGTTCTCAGTGAAAGTCTGAAGTTGCTGGAGTTCAGCTCTCAGGCCTAAGACTTCCGAGTCAAGCTGCTCCTTCTCCAAACGAAGCTTCCTTAGATCATCTGAAGTAAGTTAGTATATATTATTGTCTTCAAAAACATTGTATCATGGAAAACATAAAATGCAACTTATTGAACCACATAACAATTTATAAGTTCTATATATTATTTGAGAAACTGAAAACAAATCAGATATTTTTGAGATTTAATTTTTTTTGGAAAATAATATTAAATTTAGAAAAGATGCTAAACTTCGAGCTATAAACAAACATACCACAATCAATATGTCATATCATGAATACATCTGCATTGCAGATGCATTATTAAATTATTATAAGTTTTATAACACCCACTTTTTTTTTTAATAACCCCAATTTGAATTAATCACATTTGAATTAATTGGGAATTTGCCCACTTTTTATTTCATTTCAAGCCTAACTAAGCATATTAATAAAAAAATATTTAATGTGACTATTACCCTCTACTTATTCACATTGAAAATATTACAGTTTTACCTGCATTATATAAAAAGCTGAAATATGTATTGTAAAAGTATGTTAAAATACAAGCATATTACTCTCAATAATCCTATTAAACTGGGTGGTGAAACAAAACAATGAACAACTGAAGAATGTCCACATAACAACTTTTGATTTAAATATTATATGAGTTATTTAAAAATTTGGTTTATATCTTCATTAATTATGAAACAGAATTATATTGAAGATATAATCGAATCGTTGTTCACCAACCTTCTTTTTGTAAAAACAGCTCTTTCATTTTTGCTCTCTGCATATTAAATTCTTCTTCCAAATGTCTCCTATTTTGGACCACGGTGTCCGCTCCTACATTCTCCACTTGAAACAAAAACAATTCATACCATTCTAATGAAATATTACTAATAATACAATAAGAAAACATACCTATTGGAGCGGATACGCTAGACATATTCGCTTGTTCTTCCATGTCCATTTTTAGTACGAAAGGGCTTCCTAAAGTATTAACTGGTTATTTTAAGTATAGTTACGTTGATTCATTATTAAAACGAATGATAGAAATGCATATACTAGCAATTATTTTGCAAACATTTTATTTTTTTTCGGATACGGTAAAAAGTATGACAAAAACGTTTACTTTTTAACAAGTCAATTGTCATTTGTCAATGTTTAACGTTAGACTGAAGTTGAAAAGAGAAGTCTGTGTAGTAACACTAAGCACAGATGTAATAAAGATACAAATATTATGTAGAGTCTAATTAATAGAGACGCACCAAAGCTGTCATCAACGTATAGCAAAATGTTTCCAACTCTTCAAGTAACCAACCCATAACTTATTTAAATTAATAAAAGGTTTACAAGAGAATAAACTTTGGGTTCTTGAGGGTGCGAGGGTGATACATTATAATTTTCTCATGTATTTATAATATTATGTATTATAATAAATCAATAATAGTAACATTCAAGTAGTATAAGCTATTATTTCGATCGTTAAGGTGCGCTTACAAGAGGGCAATAATTGCTCGGCGACACGAATGCACCGATCTGGAGCAATTAATGGAGCGATTTCAATAAATTCAATAAATGTCAATAAATTATTTCTGCGATATTGCTTCTAATTGCTCCAGATTTTTCATATCGCTCGTCATAAGTCTGTTCGTGACATTCTAGTAAAGTTTTTGCATAATATATCATCTAATTTTTTACACAATGAAAATTGCGGCCGAAAACGATCGCACCCAGATACGCTTATTCCTTTTCTTTCTTTTTTTTGTTTTTGATTAATAATAAAAAAAGCGCTACAAGCCGCCGCAGCAAGAACAATGTCGTCCGTGTAGGACAGTATTGCCTAGTTGATGAAGTTGCGCCATATCGCTCAATATTGTATTGCGCAGTATTGATGCTTGTTGCCGTTGCCGTAAATTGCTTGATGTAGTCGTGACGTCATAGTTGACGAGTATTGACTGAAATTGAGCAATTTTAGTTGCCCGTATAAGCGCACCTTTATGCAAACGTGCGTTGCTTTAAGAAAAAATAATATTTTATACTTTACCCTTAAAAATCACCCCAAATAATTTTAGGAAATTTACGTTCTAAGGTCGATTTCAGTTAATTATATAAAATTTTATTGCCAGACGTAGTCTATATATATATAGACTTATAACCGTGTAAATTAATACGCATGAAATTAAAACTGGATTTTTTAAATCAATTTAAGATGAATTCAAAGTCGATGTACTTGGCCAAACAATATGGAGTAGCAATAAAGACAAAAAGATTTTTAATTTTTTTAAATAAAGTAAAGTTACAATCGTAAAATCCCAATAACGAGAGTGACCTGCTCTTGCCAAAATCATAACTTGAATCCTTCTGGGCATGCTATCCACGATGTTTTTAATAACTTATTTGTTTTATTTTTAATAGAACGGGGCAAACGGGCTGGAGGGTCATCTGATGTTAAGTGATATGGACACTCTCAATGCCAGAGAGTACTCGCGGGTGCATTGTTGGCCTTTGAAGAATTTTGCTCTTTTCTTGGATGTCTTTAAGTCGGACGTTTTGAATACTTTCCCACTCTTCTGCAATGACTCTTGGCAGGTTGCACTAATATTACTCGTCTCTTTAGAACATCGCAGACGTGCTCAATTGTATTGAGGTCAAGATTTGGATCTGGCCAATCTAAACGGCGGATCCCAACTTCTTGCATGTTGCTACCACGTTGCTAGAACGGTGCGGGCGAGCTTAGTCATCCATAAAAATTGTGATTCCATCTTTAAAATTCTCTGTTGATAACAATAGACAAAAAAAAATAAAAAATAAATTAAATCTAGATATATGTATGATACTCAAAAAAAATATTTTTTAAGTAAATTGGGGATAATCAAAAGACATTAATTTACCTTAACTTTATTTTTTCTATTTTCCATAACAATAACACTAATCAATAAAACAATATACGGAATGTCGTTTAAATCGGACGAATGATGATAAATTTAAACAGAAGTAAATAAATAATTCTTATAATGTACTATAGTGACTAAAATTACAATTATTTAGTTTATTTTAAAGCGCCATCTTTCCGCCCAAAATACATTAAAAGGCACAGACATATCACAGGTTTAACCTCTAAATAAATAGTTACGATAAACATAATTACACAATAAGTAGGTTCTAAATTATTTACAACAATTCACGATGAACATTACATTAAATGCAATTTACAGCGTAAAATGAAATCTGTGCACGTAACCGCTAGATGGCGCCAATTCGAACTAAGCTTTGGTGTCGACCCCCGACGTCGCTAGAAGCCGGGTCGAGCCTCTCGAAATCGTATACCGTTCGGTCGGTCTTCTAAACAAGGAACTTGGACTAAATTGAAATAGATGTGACCCATGAGGTGCGACGCTGAGGTATTCGTTGCTTTGAGGCATTCGAAGAGCATGTCGTCGCATTTACAGTGAGATTTGCTATACAGAGAGTTGTTGGTGAGGTTATATCGTCTCGAGAAGGCGCGCACCTTGGTCGGACAGAGGTCGTGAGTGCGACAACACCGGTCCAATGCGCGGTCTGCGCCCAGGTCGTGGTAGTCATCCGCTATGTCGCCCGTCCCGCACCATTTTGTACCTGCAACCGACTGAATTATACAACAGGATATAAATGGAACCTCCCCCTGTTCCCCAGTTTTATTTACTATAAGACTAAGTGTATAGGTATAAGTCGCGATAGATACCTGGTATGATTCCCTGTAGAAGAGAAAGTGGGCTTCCGCCCAACAAGCCGGCGTGGGCGCCACCCGCCCTCAGGCGAGCCTGCACGTCGTTCTCTTCCATCCAGATTGACTCTCTGCTATTGTCACCTGCTTCAACTCCCTCAATCTGAAGCAATAGTGTTTGTTAATCAGTCCTCCAATTAAATACACTGATAAAGTTAAAAACTCTCAACATATATGTATATATAAACTTGTGTTTGAACCAAGATTCAATAGTCACAATATCTACATTAAATGAATCCATCATCCATAAACAATAAGACAGTAAAATTAGTAGAATAAATTAATTTGCAAACTCTATAATCATTAGCTTATACATAAGGCATCTCAACAACGTTATAATTTAAAAGTAATCATAAATGGAATCGTTCATAGAAAATTGGTCGACCATCAATTTCATATACATAGGTTAGTTTATTCGACCGTGAACTTTTATCTTTCATCTTGCACAATCACGAGAAATCATTATGAAACCTTTAGACACAACATAAATACCTACGTCAAATAACATATCAAGGCCCCAAAAAAATATTAGGAAACTTGTAAGTTATTATTTAATAAACATAGATTTATGTAAATAATTTTATCTGCATAAATCTATGTTTGCACTCTAAATATGCACTCGCATAAAATAATATTATGTTCTTCTATCTAACAAAAAGAAGCACGCAAACAATACGTTCACTTATAATTACTCTTAGAAATCTTCTAATTGATTGTTGCTTGTATTTTTTAAATCAAGCAGTCGACTCCCTTGCCCCAGCTTTTATACATTTAACGCCATTTCTGTATTATCTTTTTCCCATTGTCCGATCAAAGCTTCTTAAAACTACTATACAATGCGATTACTATCGAGTGACGTGGTGTCTCTACATAGAAGTGGTCGATGGTCTTAAGATAATAGTGCATTGTTCTCTTAAAACACATATTCTTAAGAAAGTCGGGTTAGTACAAAGTTAAATAAGAATGTTTCATTCGTTAGAAATTTTCTTTAGAAGTAGGTACTATTTTTATGTTATGTATAAAACATTTGATAGCTTAGTAAATTATTGTTTTATATTGTTAGTAATAAAATAGAAATTACTTTTATCTAGTCGTGACGTTTATACCATGCACAAAACGCAATTTAAATGAGGTTATTAAAGGGAAAAGTTATCATTATTGTTGGTAAAACTTAATGTCTGGCAACCAAATAGGACAGTCTATATGTTATATACACGAGATATAATGCACGAATGTATGATTATCTATTTGTTACCTGATCGTAGAGCCGTGAAGTTACCTGCTGACACTGGCCCATCAGCTTGGTCATCTGACGGAAGGTGATGCCGAGAGGACGGTTGATTCTGCTCAGCTGACGAAGCAGTCGGCTCGTATCTTCTTCATCGCTGGAAATATTCATAAAGGCTTCATTAAATATCAATGATTAATGTTTCTAGAAATTTACTTTTGAGTTTTTGTGTAGATACATCAGATCAAATAAATCAGTGGCGCTACCTTTTTAGGTACGGGCCTCAGATTTCTGTATCTGTTTCATAATATTTTGTCATTATAATAGGCAGGTAGGTGATCAGCCTCCTGTGTCTGAAACACACTGTCTGTCACTTTTTGGGTCTAAGGTAAGCCGGTTTCCTCGCGGTGTTTTCCTCCACCGTTCGAGCCAATGTTAAATGCACACAGAAACAAAGTCCATTGGTGCACAGCCGGGGATCGAACCTATGACCTCAGGGTTGAGAGTATCACGTCGAAGCCACTAGACCAACACTGCTCCTTTTTTTACATCAGACCAAGATAAACCCAAACCCGAGACTGGTTTTTACGTTAGTATTACATTAATTGAGTAGGTATTGCAGAACTCAGTCATGGCGGCGGACGTCTATATATAAAAATGAATTGTTTTATCGATTCCTTCATTGAATATTAATGCGCTACAACAACAGCTATTGATGTCGACTATTCGTGTTAGTATTATTCGTCGGCCTAATAGACAAACCAATGAGGATTAAATACGTAGAAGAGGGAATACATATCTGCCTTTCCATACCAAAGAACTGTAGTGCACGAATACTTTAATACAAATATTGCTACGTGATTCCGAGCTGGTATTGATCCAACTAAAAACTTTTCCTTTCCACCATTATTCATCCTAATAGTAAATTAACTACATATTGTCGAATACAAAATTATATTGTATCATAACTGAGGTGGGAGTTAATAGTTACTCGGAAAATTTTAACATGCTTTTTTACTTCATAGTTATCCAATGACTGAAGGGAGAGATACATTTCTTCGTTAGTTTCATTGATATTTATAAGGAAAGTTGGAACAGCAGTTACAACTTAAATTTGTTTTCGGCGCAAACCTGACACGCGGCTGTAAGGCGGTATGCACAAGTATTTATAAGCAAATTAATTATATGTATGTCCCGATAACAGACTATAATGCGATAATAATATAGTTACTTAATAGATGATTGACGTTTTATTTTGAACATCATATACTGCAAATTTAAAGAAATGAGACACGCGTTGTCGGGTACAACTTTAAACAGTAATATCTGTACATTATCGTTACAGTAATGTACAAGAAACGAAATATTCAAATTTGCTGAATTCTCATTTTATATAATTCCCTTGCTAGCAATTTCCTAGTAGATAGAAGTTGAATGAGGCATGCAATAAATAAAAGTGAATAATTGAAGGTCGAATATCGAAGGCCGCTGACATTATTGACATTATTGTTCAATTTTTAAAGATATATAATGAAAGTGTAACAGATATTTTTGTCATAGGAATTGTGTTTATGATGTCGACTCACTGATTCTATTCGTTAAAGTTTTATTAGACTATTTCAACTTTAAAAAGCTAATGATCTTTTATTTATTACCAGCATTTAAAATTGCATTACACTGAGTCAACGTGTATCTGTAAAATTGGATTCGTGTATGATAAATATGTTAGAAGTGTTTTATATTAACTTTATGAAATTGCATTTAGGTTATGTAAAGATAATTTAAAATATAATCCATTTTCCTTATTGAATTTTATTCTGTATTATACGATGGTGCGTAAAAGTTCTTTTTTATGTTTCATTTAATTTGACTCATTTCTCATAATCGATAATTCACTACAAAGAACAGAGCGACAGTTGGCGCACTTTGTCCACCTCTTTACATCGGTATATCAAAAGAATTTCCAAGCACCCAAAAAACACAGAGACCTAAAGTGTGACAATTCAGTGTTTGTGAATTTTGAAGAAAGTCATTAATCTGGCGTTGCATAACGTTGGGTCAGGTCGGAGGGTCACTGCACATCCGGGTCACATCATTATGTGGCCATCATTACACTACATCGGATGTACTTGACATACAAATGATGCGATTGGCTTTAGTCAAAATCTAAAGGGCATTTTGCCGCTTTAGTGCAGCGTTTGGCGAACAGCCAAAGTGTACAGCACCAATTAAGGACTCTTAGCTTTAAATAAAACTTTTTCTGTTAACATCATCTATTTATTGAGCATTATATTTATTGGTTTATTATAATTATTATTATATTCACATAAAACACAATCCTGTCCTAACAGATGACCCTAAATCGACCAGAATGCATAACCTATGAAAAAAGTTTACACACGAAACAATTTAAAAAAAAATTACTTACTAATAAACAAATAGTAGAACTTTAGACACTTCACTCAACGGATAATAAAAAAGGTCCGTTAACCTATGCACTTCTTTATTTTGATTGCAGCTACCTTATTTCTATAATATCGGGTCTTTGCTGCCAAAAATGAATGATTGTTATTTAACAAAAAAAGCTTCTTACAAACATTTTATTGAGTAAAGGCCAAATTCTACTAAATTAACATAATTGGTCCACTGATAGAGATCGCTATTTGTATCAGTCGATAGATTAGCAATACATACTTAATTAAATTAATGTTATGAAATCCGTATAAGGCAAAATAGCTCTAAAATAAATAAATAGCTTACAAAAAACGAATTGTTATCACATCGACTTTCCCCGACTTTCCATTTCAACAGATATATTGTCGTCCGGAAGTGTTACTTCCTCGCAATAACACGTCGCAAAGTGTACCTATTCAATTTCTTTTCATTTGCCAACCATTCGGTACATTTAACTGCACAATTATAATCAAAGTATTAGTCAAATCATAACAATCAAACTTCTGTTCTGAGGTCTGATATCTTCATTAAACATTAACTTAGCTAATTAAAACTCACTAGCTGGATATGAACATTATAATCCCAATTCTTGGCTTATGCATCCAAGGGACAATTTCTTTTTTTTTAAATGTATGATTATATTATATATAGATATTGATTTTAAGGGATACCCTAGCCTATAGACACTTACATTGCCAGAGGGCTCGCAAGTGCGTAGCCGGCCTTTTAAGAATTGGTAGGGGCTCGCAAGTGCGTAGCCGGCCTTTTAAGAATTGGTACGCTCTTTTCTTGAAGGGCCTCGAATTGGTTCGTAAACATAATATGGTGGGCAGCTTTAATTAGTGGTAGTGGGTGTTTGTTTTTATGATATTTTTAATGACAAAACGGCCTATTATTCCGAAACAATTATTCGCGGTAATAGAACTGAAGACTTCCTGTTTATGGAAGTACGTACTTAAAGCAATAGCCGATTCTACTAACTTCCTTATATTTCCTCCTTCCTCCTTTTCTATGATGGATCCTTTAGAATGATGTTAGCATAGTCATCCCTCTGGGGTTGCGGGGTCAAATTGAGGACGATTCAATAAACGAAAAGTTTCCTCAATGAAAGATGAATGGATCTGATCCGCATATCCACAATGGCTCGACACTCGCGACAAATGCACAACAATAGGTAATGCACGCTGAACCTAGCTCCTCGCTCGATCTAGACAGTATAATGTTCCTAGATTATGAACCGAGATATTATACCAAACCTAACAGTTTAGACTAAAAGTGCAATTGAAAAAAATGTCTCGGTTGCCATATTTATTTAATTTCTAGTATAACGCAATACAATAATAATCTTTACGCAATACATAAAACCCAAAAAGTAGTAAAATATATTATGGAGCAATGACTAAATATTAACTTATTATTTAATGGAACTCGCCATTCTTAGTAGGTTCTTCATAGGATCACGTGTATATCTTTTTTCCATGCGATACAGTATACATATATAAACCAAGGTCTGCGAGAAAAATAATATTTTGATACCACTTCATAACGCAAGAATTTATACCTACTTTAATAAATTTTCAACCAAACTCAAAGATCTACAGTTCATTCAAATTCACCACGTTGGACTATGCAATTAACCGTCAATTCATAGAATACATAATAGTATATGATCAGACATCGTAACCTGTTAAATAATAATTTTATCAAGACATCATTATGCAAAGGATTTTACGTGCCGTTGACTTCATACATCATTTAAAGCTCTGTGTAGTAGTGATTTTATGAATGAATTTCCGACGCGAAAAATGACCGGGAAACCGAACCGATATTTTAGATTTGCATTATAGATACATGATAATATGTCATGTGGTCGAAGTTGGGGTTTAAGCTTCGTATTGAAAATATGTCTACCCTTCTCGAAGCAAAAGCTGTTAAGTGACTTCTTAAATATTCATAGACAATAAATGAGGTAAGCTGTAGGTTTTTATGTAATCTATGCAAACGAGAACTTTGTGGGTCGTGTTAAACAAACTGATGAAACCGCTTTTGGGCAAAATATTATTTTTACGTAATAAATAGGACATTGACTGGTTATATTCGTGCCTTTGGCAAAAACGGCAATTAATCGCTTTGAATATATATAAATATTTAGAAATCAACTGCCTAAAATTGAGTAAATGTTTGCATTAATCGACCATGTGTTTCAGACACAAGGGACCGATGAATTATATCCAAACAGACACAGAAATGTGTCTGCCTCATGGGAATAAATATATCTTTACATTACACTAATACCAAACAGAATTAAACTTAACTCAAATATACCAACCCAAAATCAAACTCAAAAAAGCGTACAACATATATTGTCTAAAGGTGAGACACGAGGTTTGTAAAAAAGACAATTCATTGCTAAGGTGCTAAATGCGATAAGTAATTGAATAATACAACGAAACCATTGTAGTTCATTGGGTCAATTATTTAAGGCTGGTTCAATCCGAGCGAGCAAGTCGTCACGTTTTATACAGTTATAATAAATACTTTTAGTTATAATACATATAGATATTAGACTACAAAATAGACTTTTCTTTAGGCAAAACGAAAATGAGTATTCATTAAGAAAATTGATCTTTTTTGAAGTGCATGAGGGAAATTTTTTACGAAAATGTCACGAAGATGTGCAGCGTTTTTGTCGAAGAAAAGGGAGAGACCGATTGAGAGAGAGTGAGAAGGGCGAATTACCTTATAGAAATTCTGTTTGTAAAATTAAAATTTCGTAAAGAGAATTTAAGAAATATTAGTATTATATTTTATGCAAAGTAATTTATTGAAATCTCTAATGACGAATTGTAAATTAAAATGCCACATGTTTTTATTATCGAAGAAATAAATTTATAAAATTAAATTTATTATTTGTATTAATTTTCGACACTTAATATTAAATTCCTAACATATTTTCCCCCTCCCAATAAGTCTCGGAAATCTAAAGTTTTAGATTTGTATAAATACTAGTGGAGCCCACAGACGTTGTCCTGCATGATATTTAAAGCGATTAGGATATTAAGCAAAGTATGAAAAAACCGACTGCAGTGCCATCTGCCGGGCTGATTTGTGAATCTAAACCATTCCCAGATCCCCTTGAACACACACAAAAAATTTCATCAAAATCGGTCCAGTCGTTTGAGAGAAGTTCAGTCACATACACACGCACACAAGAAATATATATATTAAGATGAACAAGACTTAAAAATTAGTTTGCCATAGAAGTTTCACTTCTGACGTGTGTACTTTGTACGCACGCACTTTTTTTGTTATAAATTAGAACAAAACTAGCAAAATAAACTGGCTATATGTCCCAAACGTAATATTATTGATTTGTGCCCATTTAGAATTACCCACAAAAGATAATGAAATATATATCACATTACTGATCACACACTAATTGAAAGTTAATTAAAGCCGG